GCACAAGATTAACCCTTAACAAGGATATGTTCTTGACATAGCCCCTTTCAGTATATACTTCGTATGGAAAGTACAAGCCAGTTAAGAGGGGATTACAGTTGAACGCCTTGTTTTCTGAGCAATTTTCCTTGAAAATCTAGTCCAATTAGCGAACTAACTGCATGGTTTACGTGTATTACCTCTTCTATCGTTCTTTCTTTCATTCTCAATTCAACCCCAATTCCCCCAAAATTCAACTGTGATCCCCTCTTAAGCAAGGACGGTTGGGAAATATCGTTAAGTTTTAGCTTCATTGTGTTGGATTTTGTAATCCACACCAGTTTCTTACCGCCCCATTTTCTGCGGCATTTTGTAGATAGCTATAATGGTGATTTGTAATTTTGCAACGATATAAATTATACAGCGCACGATAAGTGTCATTTACGTTGTAAAACTGCAAGATAATAAAAAGGGAAACTTGTAACGGTTTTTAATAAACCGTTATCTGTGCTATTTTAATTTTTATAACTAGCCAAGTGACTTGTAACAGACGGAAGAAATTGCGTTTTGAAATGAAGATAATAAATATGTACAATTTAAAGATTTTTTTTGAAAGATGACGGTTGCAGTTAAGTTGAAAACTGTCCTTGACCCTTAACTGACCCGAAACTGTTCTTAATTTTCGTTGAAATGCTATAATTACTATTTAACTAATTACTCTGTATCATGATGTCTGGATCCTGTCTCTTAACGGGACGGAAACGTCCACATAATATGCCATGTAGTCACGCTCACCGAGCCCGCCTGGTCAACCCAGTCTGTGGTCAACCCAAACCAACAACAGGACAGCGGGTAACACACAGCTTATGCATACAAATCCCAATCTCTCCTAGTAAACACTGCGGCTTTGGGCCATGGCTAGCTTCATGTAATACGGGGATAAAAGTCATTACGACGAGGGCACTACCGACGACAAAAAGCGACTGAGTCAGTCGGGCTTATAAAATCAGCCTTTGAGTTTTACTTTTATGGGTAGTGTCCATGATAATCGCTTCGATTATACCTGCCAGTCTTCTTATTCACTACAAACCAATCACTCTTCTATGCGACTAGTTGTCAATCACTTTTCTCTATACAACTGCGACCATACTAGTCCATCGCATAAATAATTATATAAAAGTTCTGCCAAAGATTATCAACAACCGTCCAAAAGAGTTTCTTAGTTGGCTATCGGGAAAAATATCACCTTAATGGATAACATCAACAAGTTCAAAAATAGAGAGCAGCCTGCTCATTGGATATCGGGCAAAAGCAACGAGCAGGAGAAGGTGGAAAATCATCAACACGTATGTCAAGAAGACCGGGGGTACTCCCCATAATAGAGTGCTTATAATAAGCAACAACAATGGTGACAGCTACAAAAACTTCACTTAAAAAGTGAATTCGGGCTGCTTCAAATTTCAACACGATTATCCAATCTCGTTCATTTCGTTAAATGTTGGCAGATTTTTCTGGAGTTGAGTTAAGACCCTACTGAAGTTCAGGAAAAGAAAAAGAAAGTCGTTGCGAGTTGTGTTCACGTCCTCCATAAAACGTGAAATAAATCATTTTCACGTAGTAGTCGTGCACTGAGGGCAAAGAAATGCACAAAAAAGCGTGATGCAAGTCCAAAGTTGTTGTTTTGCCAATCTAACCCAATTGCTTTTTTGCCGTTCCCGTTCCCGTTGCCGTCGCCGTCGTCTTTGCTTAAGTTCTCTAATGGCCCATACGGAGAAGCTTCGCTTGAAAGGGGTACCTTTTTCAGGTCTGAGGTTTATGAAACGGTAGGGATTTGTTGAAGTATATTAAAGGATAGGGAATTCTGTCATTTCGGCCGGTGAAAACGCCCAAAAGGGCTAACAGATTCATTTTTTATTGTGAAAAAGTCGCGAAAACGTTCTGTTTTTTTTTTCGTATTTTAACCCTTTGGTGACAGCCGGCGAGAAGCGAAAAACCACCGCATTTTTCACCAATTCCTCTTCTTTGGACTAGTTTTCCGCTATAGCATAAGTTTGGCTAGAAACGAGTTTTGCAAGAAACAAGGCATATTATCCGACTAATCTGATGTAATTAAACAGCTTTTTTGTTTTTTCAGGCATGTGCAAAAGCCAAAATTTGGACTTTTTTTGGCGAATCTATTTCGAGCTTTCTCTCTCGCTCTCTTTTTTCCCTTCTTTTCTTTCTTTATTGGCGGTTTTGCTGCCCACTTTATCGTCTTTCTTTTGCACGGAATTGTGGCTGGCTTACTTTTTAGGAAAGGGACAAATTTAATATTCAAAGAGTAGTATGTAAACAGCGTAATTGGCAGTGGATTTTTCCCTTAAATGTTATCTTTTTTTGTGAGTCAGAATATCCAAAACGAGGTATCGTTGGAACTGATCTATCTTTTCTGACATTGTTGCTTACCGATTTATTAACTTCAACTGAGAGCTAAATGGGTCAAAGGAGGAATGCATACATCGTTCCATATGGGTATACGACCCTAGCCGTCCGAAAAGGGTTAAAGAACAGTGTATTTAGAGCAGTTGAAAAGGATTCAAAGGTCTAAACAACGTAGGTATGTGTAAGGGGTGCCATGCATTTGACCTTTTCTGTCAACGCTGCTATACAAAAGGGTAAGGGGTTGGACCTCGAGGTGGACCCGCAAACTTTGTTGAGTCTTGACCCCCCCCCCCCTCCCCCCGCCCCTTCCCATGGAGAAAGATCTGACCCCATTGTCACTAAACATTGTTTGAACAAACAAAGCCATCAGTCTGGTCACCTTAGGTCTTGGAGAGAGCCCTATTGTTCAACGATTCTTCAGGCTCACAGTTAACTCTGTCTGAACTTATGAATCTATGACAATAATAAGCGTTTGAATGGGTTATCCTGGGCTATCCTGGATCTTTGCCGACATATATTGAGAGACCGCCCTGGCCACCACCTGCAAAAAAAGTTGTTAAAGGTCGCAGCTCAAAAGGTTCAAAACCAGTTAAAGTTTTTCCTTTGAAAGGAAGTCATGGAAGAAGCGCCGTGTGATGTGTGTTCTGTGTTTGACGACTGTCTGATGTCAGGTACTGGGCATGGGTATACCATGAATGACACTTGTGATAGACACGAAGCTACAAAACAAGTAAAGACTGGTCGGTTAAGTCAGTCTCCTTCCTTGGCTACACCTCTATGATATAAGCCAGGCTAATCTACGTTATAAGACGCTGTTCAAAGAATAGAAAATGAAAAGCAAAAATAATGATGGGTCCCTCGCCAGTTAACAACTGGACGGAAAAAAACAAAGGGGACAGTGTGCCGCAAACTGCACTGCAAGAATATGTTAAAAAATACTTACCTGGCTGCTTCTCAAGTATCAGTTTATTTTTTTAGATCTCCAGTTATAAGTTTAAAAATTCGTCGTATGAGGCGAAAACTAGATATTTTGATCAATTTCAGTTACAGCTTGTGTGCACTCAAGCCAAAACAAAATTAACTGAATACAGAAAAAACAATAATTTGTTTCCATTTTGCTGCGGATAGGAAGCCGGTGATCTTAGGCCGGGTCTCACTTCTCAACAGTGTAACTGTGTTTTTTTATTTCGTATCTTTCCGGATTTCTTCTGCATGTAGTGTTATTCGATGAACGTTTGACTGTTGACATAGTAACAGTATTTGAATAAATTACATATAGTATGGTGTTCAACCGACGAGGTACGGACAAAAAATTGTCAAACCAAGTCAGTGACTTAGTAGGTCTTGTTTTTCTCGTTGAGATAAGATGTGATCGAAAGGCTAAGATATTTCAGTGAAAACAAACGGTCTCCTTTATTACTAAAACATCACCTGACAGAAGGAAAGAAAAGCCTGCCAGGTTTCCTGTTACCCGGGGATAACTCGTTTATTTCTCACCCTTATTTCAGATATTTCAGATTCCCCAGGTAGAAAGTGCATTTAGTTGAAAAAATTCTTTCAAAGGTCTACAATGATATCAGCAAAAGGTCCAGTGAGTATTCTATTTCTCTCAATGAGTGAACATTTCAATTAGTAGGCTACTGATTAAAATCTGGTTTAAGAAGTCTTTGTCCGACACGTAACTCAAATTAATGTTAGCAACACCCTGTGTTTCTTCTTTTATTACCCAATAAAGATACCCTTTTTCACCGCGAGGAACAATTCATTAGCAAGGACAAGACATGGCATCCCAGCAGCAGCTTGATGAGCGTACAAATCAGTCGCAGATGGCTGCCACATTTGCCCAATTAAAAAATACGTGTATTTAAACACGATATAAGCGATAACGGCCTTCTGCACTGTCCAACTTCAAACTCAGCGTTGTGTGTAAAATCCTGACTTTTGGCTTTGACGCATGCTCAAGGCGTTTTACGAAAACATATATGGAAAACAACACGGTTTAGTACCATAATAAATTGCGTGAAATGAAATAAATAAACAAATCGAGTTACAAATTCATCCGCCTCTTTCTTTATTCAGCAAAGGTCGTCTATGCTAAATCCTTTTATGTCGTAGGTGTATACGTTTTGCCGACACCAGACACTTAACTTTTTTATCATCGGCGCACGTCCAGTTATTTTTTTTGAAGTAAATCAAACTCGGGTCAGTAAAGGGTGATTTGTGTGAGGTCAGGATCAATTTTAAACACTAATTGTACTATTTAAGCGTGTTGAGACCGCAATGCAGAGCCAATATCATAAAAACCACATGGTATTTATTCAATAAATAAAACTCATTTGAATTACACGACAAGCAGGGAGCGTTGTGTTCATCAAAATAAAAACAAGCATCATATTGGAGAATGACGATGGTGCAAATTTGCAAATGTTTGTTATCAAAGTGCAATTCTTCAGGGTCTAAAAGATGGTTGCGATTCCAATACGACCACGCCCGTATAGATTTAGATTTTTTTGTTATCTCAAAGGCTATCTAGAAGTTCAAAGATTAAGACTTCCGTCACAAGTAACTGTAGGATAAACTGAAAACCACTCGTGATTACCCCCTTATGGTTATTAAAATTAAAGGGGGCGCAACAGGAAATCTGTCATTTAGTACGAATGCATAACTAGGATTCTGTGAGCTGGCCTTAGCGCACTTTTCTACTCAGACGTCTTACGCGCTGGTTGAACAAAATAACGAGTGACATTTCCTTGGAGAATTCTTCAAACAGAAGGTAAACATCAAACCACCAAGTACCTGTTTGATCAGTTTTTAGTTATGCGGAGTATATCTACTTATTGACATAAAACCTTCCAGATTTCGCTTTGAGACGCGAAGCTTGTTTACTAAGTAACTCGAACAAGTATTGGTTTTCGTTCAAGGTGTCTAAAGCACTAATCCACTTTTCAGTTGGCTACAAGCAAGTTTCAAAAGGCAAGAATTTAATTCAGACTAACATCAACCATGCAATTTCTGTTTATAGGGTCGTGACTCGTGAGATCTCCACTCGGAACGACTTAACAACAGATATCGAAATGGCAATCGTCTTCAGATCTTTGATTTTATTTCTTACCGTCCTTCAATCTTTCACCTTCGGAAGATATCCTCCTTTGCCTCCATTTTTAGAAAAAAACAGTAATGGTAAGTCAGGTATAAGTTTACCGCTAACAGTATGCATTGTGCATGTACAGAATATATGTCAGGCTTTAAGCAAACACGACAGGACTACCTACGACTTGGCGTCTTATCAACATACTTAAGTCACAATTACGCGAAGGGAAATTTCAAAAACTCATATACGAAGACAAGCGGTATTTCATGTAACAAACTGCATGAGCCAGACACTTTGAAAAGAAACATTTTCCAGCGCCAATCTTCCCAAATTTCAGCAGATCTCAAAGCTCTGGTGCCTTCCCTTCCTCATCAACCATTCAATTTTTCCCTTCCAAATCTTCGTTAGTCTTAAGGCACGCAGGAGTGCTGTTGGGTTAGCCTTAGTAAAACTAACAGGTTCCTTCAGTATGAATCATCAAGTCACCCTCTTAATTTACGTACTCTTTGTACGGCATGTTTTTCATCACTTTATATACTGAGAATGACCACCTGATTCCCAGGCCTCTCATTTCTCCTAAGCCCTAGCGGACTGAGGATACTGATGAAAGAAATGTTCCATTTTAGAAATAAATGAAAGAGGAAATGATCTTCGCAGTTGAATAAACAACTTAAACGGTTGAATAAGAACCTGAAAAAATTCAGGCTGGGCCAAAAAATATATTTTAGAAATAAAGTTACTTCTAAAGGCTGCTGAATGGCCCCACTACAGAAGTTAGGGCTAGAACTCGATACTTCATTTCTCCAATTAAAACTAGGAATGAAAGGGTTGAGAGATATTAACAAACTTATTGGTTTTTAAGAAAATAGGCTAAAATATGTCTAACCGAACAGCTTGCATCTTTCTGTAGTAATATTTTCTTTCCTTATGTGGTCTTCTAATTGTCTGTTGTAGTGGTATTTTTTTTTATCTTAGATAAAGTTTTTTATCTTAGATAAAGTATTATGACAGACAACAACTCACTCTATCCTTATGACTCTCGCATGTTTTTGTTCTGGCTGATAGGGAAAGTATGCTTTCACGATGACCAGATGTATATGCCCTGGGAAAAGTTTGCTGATAAAGCTTGTACCGGGTGGTGCACATGCAATGGACTCACCGGCAGTGTGGGATGTGTTTCCTTGTGCCCTCTCGCCCCTCCCAGAAAGTGTCCCCCAGGAACTGAAGCACAGATTAAAAATGTTCCTTCTGGTGACAAGACTGGGAGATGCACATGCAAGCGACAAGTCTGTGGCAAGTATTGTAAATAAACATAACATGTAGCAGGCCGACTCTTTTGACAGCAAAAAGTTGACAATAGATCGAATCTATTTATTTATGTTCAAAATAACTGTAATCTATCCATTTGCTTTCATAATAATTGCTAACCTTGGTGTCCTTAGCTCATTACTAGCAAGGTCCTGGCAGCTGTAGTTAAATGATGCCATTTCGTAAAGGGATTGATCCTGTTTACGGCTGTGCAAGGAAGAACAAAATTAGCGCAATATTTGAAACATAGGTAGTTAGCCACTCAAGGTCATAAAACAGTATTATTTCTTAGACCCATTACGTGGATAACGAGACGTCTTGCATTACATATTAGATGACTAATTTTACACTATGCAATCCCTCCTCCCTCTTTTGAACGGAAAGCCGGTTTGAGATAGGTCTTGCACTAAAAGAATTGCCAGCCGTTACATTGCAGGGATGTCTAGACACCCACATTGCAGTGGGTCTGTGTGAGTTTCCAGGGATCTCGTAAAAGCGAACAAAGAATTTTATTCTAGGTTTGTTTGTGGCTGGGAGTTTTCCATCAATTATTGAAATTCTGGAAGTATTCAATCCTTCCAGAGTGTGAGAGTAGTGCCTCGGACGATTATTTCATCGACAGGAAATGCTCGGGTCAATGCAGAAGCATGGGGGGGAGGTAGCGGGATCTGGTGTGTTTCCCTGTGCCTACCTGGAGAACTTAGGTGCCTCCCCCACCCCCGACGAGAAAAAAGAATATTATTATCACCCGATGGACCTGGAAAGAAGATGTTTCTGCAAGCGAGAGAGATGTGTGGAAAAGATAGGGCCTTGTAAGCCTTGTATTTCACCCGCGGAGTGGACGCACGCATTAGTTACACTTCACTTCTCCAACTGAATCTAGGAATGAAAGGTTATAGACTACCGTATTTATTCGATTAACCGCCCTGGGCGCTTATTAAAGTTTTAGACCGTGAGAGTGGGCGCTTATTCGAGGCTGGGTGCTTATTAATTTTCACCATTTTCAGCAAGTCAAGTCTATTTCTTTCGCAACAAACAATAAATGGTAATAACAAAACGCGAAGATGTAACAAAGCAAGGTTTCTGTAAAATACCCTGAAGAAACCTCCGTCTTCGGGGAAGTCTCTTATTAGTAATTATTCAATTTCAATTTTAATCTCATTGTCATTCAAGTCAATAAGTGAATTCTCTGGTGCTGCCTCCTCGATGTCCGACATCGGGGGAGAGGGGTGGGGGTGGGCGCTTATTCGAGGCTGGGCGCTTATTAACTTTTTCCAGGAGCTGCTTTTTCTGCCTTAAGGATGGGCGCTTATTCGAGCTCGGTGCTAATTCGAGGCTGGGCGCTTATTCGAATAAATACGGTATGTGAACAATCTTACTCCTTTTTAAGAAGGTAGACTAAATAAGTCTAAACAAGAAGCTGGCATGTCAGCCCTGTTTCCCTTTCTGTTTGTTCTTTTGTTCTTTTTCTCTGTTGCTGCTGTTGTTGTTGTTATTTTTTTAAACGTCGATAAAATATCATGACAGTCAGCAACATATCATTGTATCCTTATATCTTTCGCTTTTTTTATTCTGGCTAATAGAGAAAGTATCAGTATGCTTTCACGATGACGAGATGCATATGCCCTGGGAAAAGTTTGCTGATAAAGCTTGTACCGGGTGGTGCACGTGCAATGGACTTACCGGCAGTGTGGGATGTGTTTCCTTGTGCCCTCTCGCCCCTCCCAGAAAGTGTCCCCCAGGAACTGAAGCACGGATTAAAAATGTTCCTTCTGGTGACAAGACTGGGAGATGCACATGCAAGCGACAAGTGTGCGCTCCTGTTACAGTTAAAGGTTGACTATAGATCCAATCTATCCATTTATTTTTATAGTAATTGTGAGATCTATGTATCATTACTTGTTTGCAAATACTGGTACTAGCAAGGTTCTGTAAGCCGTAGTTTTATATGACGCCATTGAGAAAATATGGTTGTTTCTTTTTACCTCTGCGCAGGGAGGAAGAAAGGTAACAATGTCTGAAACAAGGTAGTTAGCCTTTCAGAGTCATAAAACATATATCTTTACCTATATCGTATTTAACCAGATGTCTTGCGTTATATATCAGCAGATGAATAATTTTACACTCCATGCAATATGTCCTCCCCGTCGTTTGACTCACGACCGTTGCACTAAAAAATTGTAGTGAGTGGTGGTGTGTGCATTGTGGGATCTCCTTAATTGAACCAAGAATTTTATCCTAGCTTTGCTTTTGGCTGGGGGGTTTCCCTCAGTTTATTAAAATTCTGGTAACTTTCAGTCCTTCCAGAGTGCGTGGGTCGTGCTTCGGGAGAATATTTCATCGACAGCAAATGCACAGGTCGATGCAGATGTATGAAGGGAGGTACCGGGATCATGTGTTCTTCCCTTTGTCCACCTGCGTTCGTGCGGTGCTCCCTAGGCGAAGAGAAGGAGTACTATGATCAGCCGATGGACCTTGATCAAAGATGTTACTGCAAGCGGGAGAGATGCGTAGCAAAGATAGGGGCTTGGTAAGTACTACACTGCGTTATAGAAAAAAGCAGTGAGAGGAATACAGTGTATTCTAGTCTAACCTGGTTTAGGCGTCAGATAGTGGGGATGGCGAAACAGAGAGAAGTGAGCAGGAAAAAAAACACAGCATAAACAACAACAACAACAACAAGAAAAAAACAGCAAAGAACCTTTCCTCCTTTTTTTCTCTCCGCGCTCCATTTCGCGCCACTCTCATTTGAAGGCCTAGAACAGCCATGTATAACATGCCTTCCGGTTTATTGACGCAACACTTTTTGTTTCTATGGAAACTACAACATAGAAGCAGGGTACACTGAGAAAATAGCAGGCTCTTAGATCTGGATGAGTGTTTGAATTACAAATACAAATATCTTGCACACAGAACCATCCCTCCGACTCAGGGATCAACTGTGCATTTGTTGATGAGCGGACTTGTGTCGAAAATGCAAACAAGTTGTTTAGCGTTCAACGATTTGCAAGTAACGACAACATTAAATTCCTTACAAATGTTGCTATATGTACTCCAAAGGCCCCTGCAAACGGACTTCGCAACATTGTGGGATGTTACATGTTGTGTCCCGTTTGCACATCCTGTTGCATGTTGTTGCGTGTTGTTGGGATTTGTTGCGCAAAGTTTGATACCGGTCAAACGTTTAGCTAAGTGCAATCGGACGCAACAATTCCCAACAATGTTGGGCTACCAATGTTGGGAGTTGTTACGTCCGTTTGCACGGAGCTTAATTAATTTTACAAATTCCATCGATGTTGAGCCTTAACGCGCCTATGTTTGCATTTTTTTGGTTCATTTTAGATCCCATGGCTTGACGCTATTCAGAATGCAGCGCATCATGAGGGGAATTTCAAAAAGTTTTAAATTAATAGACGTTAGTTTCTTATCGCAGAAATCCAGAAATCTTAGCTCAGTAAAAGCATATGATCTAACTTTAGAGTTAATTTATCCCAATAAACAGATGTGCTTGTCTTAGGTATTCCATGATGTTTGAACTCTAACCTCAATTCAGCTTATCACCATTTTACAGTATTCGCTTTATGAGCAACTAATGTCTATGACAGACAGGATGCTAATCACGTACAGATTGAACAATTTAATCCTAAGCTGGACACCCCGGCTCGCCAAGCAAAATAACTTATTTACATAACTGGAGCTGCTGGTCGCTTATAGGCTTTAATAGACTGTGCTCGAAAAAGTAGAATATGCTACTAGCAGTGCTCGTATATTTCTAAAATTACGGCAATATTCATGCTTGTTTTTTTTTCACTTCAAAATTGATGAAAATACCTCAATAACTATGCAACAAACAATTAAATAGCAAACACATTTATCCTATTTACATCTAGAAAATTTAAGAGTGCATAATTAGTTCTCTGAAAACTGTAAATTAGAGTTCAAACGCAAAAGTCAGCACACGCGGACGCCCTCTTGGGTAACCGAACTAGCCAGTTATGCCCAATTGCGTTGAGTTCTGTGGCAAGGTCCTAGATCCCATGAATGCGACGATAGGCAGGCAAAAATTGATTTTGTTACTTAAATTTGCCCGTAACACTTATCTGGGTCAAAAAAAATTGGTTGCATGATCAATAAATGACAATTTTATACAGCGGAACTAGCCAAAAGGGCAAATTATGCTACCACTGCTTCTTTCGGGAAATACATGAAAAGTTTACTCGTAATGACGAATGATGCCAAAAATTATTGCTGGCACAATTTGCAAAGCCTAGTCGCTCTCGTAAGGTCGGGCACAAAAGAGTATCTTAATAAAAGATAACGACTACAGCTCACAAGTAACTAACATTGCAAATACACCGTATTAAAGGATTGTTTGTTTTACCGACAGTAACTTATGAAGTCACCTTCGACTCTCTTCGCGAGCTAAATAGCTAAGCCTCTGCTCGCTTCTTTTTCTCCGGTGAAACTCGTGAGGACGACGGCAAGGCAAATGCAACCGAAAACGAAAGGTGAGAAAGGTTTGTACGCCATGTTGGAATGGTGAATTCTCCAATGTGGGCACGAACCAAGCTTGCTTTTGTGCTGGACGTGTGAACATTTCTTTTGCTTTGTGTGATCCAGCCCTAATGGGACAGTATCATGACATTTGGAGAATCCCTGAATTGTACTTGCAGCATCAAGACCATCTAAAAAGTATTGTTAAAAGTACTTTAAAAACGCGCAAGCTGCAAGATTCACGATTTGACAATGGTCCGTTACCTGCGTTATAGCAAGACAATCATGTACATTGTCTTGATATTAAAGAGGCAACTGTAGGCTGACTACAATGAAACTTATATTTCTACGGGTCCGGTAGTTATTTACCCCTTTATTGTGGAAAACACTGGTAATTGTCCGCCTTCCATCAGACCTAATTGCACTTAACTTAAAAAAAGTAGTAAAACCAAGAACTAAATACAGAGCTTAATAGAAAGAACCTGTAGATAAGGTTCCAACCGAGAATTAACCTGCGAGGTTTCAAATGATTTAGCAGGGTGCGTTTCTTTGGGTTGATCCGGATCATGATCAGTGATCCGAGATCACTCGCATCATGATGTAAAGGAATCGATAATCCTCTCGAGGCAAGGATTCATCGGCTCCTTTGATGATCCGACTAATCTGAGATCACTGTTCCTGATCCTGGTCATCCCAAAGGAACGTATACTTATAGAGGATGGTAAACCGGCTGATGATAGAGAAGTAGGGGAAGAAAAAAAGTCTTTGAGTTGGCAGCAGCTCTAAAATGAAGAAGGTTGTGTTAGGGAAACCTGCCTTATGAACGCATAAACGTACAAACCAACAATGGAACGCCCCCGAGTTTTAAAATGGGCTTGGTTTTTTTTCTTCTAGCGTCTTCTGCGCATGCTCAACATATAAGAATTTAACTTAAGTAGCACATGTACATAACTGTAAAGCCAGCCTGAGGTGAGCGAACCGATCTTTCTAAGGTGCCGGAAAACTCAATGAAACAAGCGAAATTGAGTCTTGTCTTTTAGAATACGCTAAATCTGTACACCAAATGCACACGCTACTTATAGTCGACGTACAGAAAAAGATACCAAGCGTACATGAACAACTTTACGAGAGACCCAACAAATTACGAGTCAACCTTACTGAAAAACCCTCTCTTAGTCAGCTACCTACGGAGCGCTTGAAGCGCTTCTAAATAAGAATTAAGTAATCGCCTATAACCACCGAAATTGATACTTTTAAACACTTTTTTGTACTTAAACGTTACTGAGTGTTTCTGGTCAACGCAAGAGTGTGGTTGACGATACTTTTGAGAATGCCTGTTTATTTAAGATGTTGCTTTACAGGAAAAGAAAGGAAAAAACGAATCGAATACTTCAATCAGCTTTTGTTGACTGTATTTTATCTTCCTTTGTTCTTATCATGAGACCTTCTATACAATTTATTATTTCGTTATTTTGCAGATGTTAATGCAGCCAGACTATCTTGTTTTGTATATATTGTGATTCAATTTTATCTTTGGTTTAAATTTTATCACTTTTGCTTTTTGATATCAAATGGTAATTTATGATAATAAGTTTGAAACAAAAGAAAATAAAATTTCCACCAAGGATAAAATTGAACCACAACATATTCGTCGATGGGAATTCTTAGACAAAGATACCCGTTTAATAACAAAATAACGGTGTGCCTATAATGATTTCTGTGGCGAGAGCGAGACGAGACAAGAAAATTTACACAAGGGAAAGGGGGAAAATCCAGTTGACGCAGCTGAGTAGCTTAAAGAAAAACCTGTACTAGATAAACCTCTTGGAGCAATTCTAGACAGAAAATTCTAAGAATAAAATCCGTTATGAAATCTTTCCGCCGCGTTCATAAGCTGGATCATGAATACGGATACAACGGTCGCTGACAGCGCAAACAAGGATGTTATTAGTTTCATTATATAAATTAAATATGAATATAAATCAGTACACTTAAAACCCGTGAGCAAGGGGAAATTGGAAGTAAATTACTAACCAACATGTTGCCCTCTGGCACCGGCGAAAGTCAGAGGAAGCCACCCACCAGTTAGATGGAAATCATTGGTAGTTCATGAGAATTTTTTTTTTCCAAGTGTTTGACTTCTTCTTATACTGAATTGAACTTTCTCACAAGACTGGTTATGCCAAGAAATTCGCTAGCTCAGTCTGTGGCATTTAATAAGAATATTTCGTGAACGAAAATTAAAATAACTATAGCTTGTAAAAATCAAACAAAATTACCTATGGTTAGTTGCCAATACTCACAGAAGGTTGCTTTTTCAGGGACTCATCCGATCAGTTTTAATAAGATGTTCCGTAGATGTCTTAATATAAGCAAACATTGAGTTTCATTTATAGTTAAACTATGTCATCTAATATATAATTATCTCAATTCCACTTGGCGAGTAACTCCAACTAAGCACTTTTTTCAGCAGGCTTGAGAATAAAACATTTTATTAAGTTCGAATTCCTGCGACATAAAACACTACTGAAAAAAATGAGCTCATTTTAGGTGATTTAATACAGTTGTCTTAATGTGTCGATGGTTATAGTTAAGGCTTCGGTGATGAGGTAATTTTTGAGATGTACAAAGGAAATCCAAAACTAACAGTAAAATTATTATATTTATAAAAATTCAGTGACAATTAAAAGTATTCATTTATCTGAAATTTTTTGAGGGAAGTATATTAATATCCTGCAATTTGAGGTTTAGGTAGTAAGAAATAGAATAACATGCCAGATAGTGCAAAAACACATGTAATAAGCTACACATACTGCAAGTGGAATCCACAATTATGGATATCGTCTTCGTACAGTATGTTCCAGATCATATTTAGTAATAGTAAGTCATCATAGTTCCCAACTGAGAAGTCCTCTATTTTGGAAACTTTTTGTAAGTCTGTGTGTGAAATCCATGACCATTCAGAAAAGTCACGTGACATAACTATGAAGAGAATCCAATCCAGTACGAAATGCAGCAAGCTAAAGCGATTATATGTAAT